GGGTTTGGGGTTTCGGATTTTGGGTTTAGGGTTTAGGGTTTGGGGTTTAGGGTTTGGGGTTTAGGGGTTTAGGATTTAGGATTTAGGGTTTAGGGTTTGGGGTTTAGGGTTTAGGGTTTACGGGTTTAGGAATTAGGGTTTAGGGTTCAGCAGCTCTGACCTTGAAAACTTCTTGTCAAGCTATTTTCAAGAAAACACCCCACCCGCGCATAGATTCCCCTCACATTGAGAAAAAACTCATTTTCTTATTTCAAACAGAGTAGACTTCACACAACATACCCGAATAGAAACAACGATAGTAAAAAAAGCCATAAGTGCGAACTGAGCGTCAATAATCGCAAGCTACTTGGTGTACTCAAAGAAGAAAATCTCTCCACTTTTTCGGTTAGACCCTGTAGTGTTTAAGGCTTGCTGCAAACTACTTGATGGACTCAAAGAAGAAACTCTCTCAACTTTTGCGGTTAGACGCCTGAGTAGAAGGAAATCTCGTGCAGAATTGTTTCGCTTATTGGTGCGTTATGAATGACAATCTCTTGCAGAATTGTTTCGCTTATTGGGGCGTTAGGAATGAACATATCTTGCAGAATTGTTTCGCTTATTGGTGCGTTACATTCAAAATCTCTCGCAGAATTGTTTCGCTTATTGGGGCGTTAGAGTAAAACCTCTTGCAGGATTGTCTTGCTTGTTGCGCAGTAAGAGCCACGACATATGAGCAAAAGCCACGAAATATGAGCAAAGGCCACGAAATATGAGCAAAATCCACGGAATTTGAGCAAAAGCAACGAAATATGAGCAAAAGCCAAGAAATATTAGCAAAAGCCACGAAATATAAGCAAAAGCAACGAAATATAAGCAATAGCCACGAAATATGAGCAATAGCCACGAAATATGAGCAAAAGCCACGAAATATGAGCAAACGACACGAAATATGAGCAAAAGCCACGAAATATGAGCAATAGCCACGAAATATGAGCAAAAGCAACGAAACATGAGCAAACGCCACGAAATATGAACAAGAGCCACGAAATATGAGCAATAGCCACGACGTATGAGGAAAAGCCACGAAATATGAGCAATAGCAACGAAACATGAGCAAACGCCACGAAATATGAGCAATAGCCACGAAATAGGAGCAAACGCCACGAAATATGAGCAATAGCCACGAAATATGAGCAATAGCCACGAAGACTATAGGGTTTAAATAACAATAGGTAGAGAGGTTAAGGGGTTCAGGGCTTTGGGATCAAAATATAGGCCTCGAGGGTTCAGGTTTTCGCGCTGAGGGCTTATAGGGTTTTTCGGGTTCTGGGCGTCGGGCTCAAGGCTGAGTTTAGGGTTGAGGGCTTAGTGGCTTAGTGGCTCAGGTGTTTGTTTAACAGCACTCTTCAGAACTGATCCGTACTAAACCTCCTAAACCCTAAACCCAAAGTTGAGGCCACCCAGATCAGTAATAAACCCTAAATCCTAAACCCAGTCAAGTAATCCCTGACCTCCCAAAGGTTCCCTAAGCTTCCCGACGCGACGGCTCCCCAAGGTTCGGAAAGGTTCTCTAGGGGATCCGTCGTCGTAAATTAGGGTTTAGAGCTTAGGGTTTAGGGTTTAGGGCTTAGGGTTTAGGGTTTAGGGCTTCGGGTTTAGGGTTTAGGATTAGGGTTTAGGATAGTGGCGCATAGCGGCAGTATTTAGCGACAGTGTTGTTTCGAGTGCATCGTAGTTTGACGATTCGGTGCTGGAGCTTGAATGTGGAGGGTTTTTTTTTTCTCTCCCACCCCACGCCGTCTGAGGCGGCTAAACCACCCAAGCCTATTCCTTTTAGGGTTTAGCTCTAAACTCATTCCATGGTTTTCTTCTTCACTTGAAGCTCGTTCTTGCAGGAAGGCAGGCAGGCGTCAAACCAGCAAGCAGGGAAGGGCGGCCGGCCAGGGGAACCAGGGGCGAAGCGCCGCCCCCCAACTGTGGGGGGCGGCCTAGGCCTTGAGTCTTAAGGCTTTTACCCTAAACCTGCCCCCTTTTGTTCCTTGAGCTATACTCCCTTTCTGGCTTGGGGTTTCCTTTCTTATACTGATAAGTACGACATGATACAGCCTAAAATAGTGTGACACATAAACGGCCTATAAGTATGATATCATATAGCTTTCATGCCTCTGATTCGTCAGAATCATCAACCGAGACCCTACTGTGTAACGGTATGAGTATCTGCTCGTTGTCCCTTTTTCATGACACTAGAGCGTATAGCAACAAGCTGCATTCTCATCAGCAAGTCCCCTATATGGTAAAACCGAAATCCGAAGGCCAGACCCCTTTAAACAACCATGCTAATGCAAGCTTTTTCCACAAACACCCGTAAAGAAGCAACCTAGGAGGAGGTGTAATAATGGAGCCCTCACAGAACCTGTACTGAAGCTTAATAAATGATCCAAGCTTTTTCCGAGGCAGAGCGAATGAGGTGCTTCGGAGGCTGTGGTTTGAGGGCTCTGGGTTCTTGGGTTCACTTTGGATTTAGGGTTTCGGGTTCTGGGTTAGGGGTCAGGCCGAAGAGATTGAGGCCGCGGTTGTGGGCATTTGGGGCGTCTAACGGGTGTGGAATTTTGAGGAGAATCACGTAGGGGATATGCAGAACATTGTTGAAACGCATACGGGTTGTGGAACATGTCACTGAGCCACATCATAGGGGTTGTAAGGAATATGTTGTTGAATTGTGGAGGTTATAAGTCATATGGAGCATTATCGGAACACTTAATTAGGAGACCCCTAAACCCTAAACCCTAAACCCTAAACCCTAAACCCTAAACCCTAGTCTAGCATGACAGCATCGAGCCAAGCACTTCGGGCCTTTGGGGATAGAGTTTAGGACATTTTCAGGTAGGTAGTTACCGTTATAGGAGCCTTGTAGAAGGTCTGTATGCCTTATAGAAGCCTTATAGAAGCCCTATATAAAAAGCAAAAACTCCCCACTTGTAGGTTCCTTTAGCTTTGAGTTTAGGGTGTTGAGCTTAGGGGTCCTCAGCGCAAAGGGAACCACTCGGTGGCCGAGAAGGGTTTAGGGTTTATTGTTTAGGTTCAGGGTTTTAGGGTTTAGGGTTTAGGGTTTATTGTTTAGGTTTAGGGTTTAGGGTTTCATGCTGGATTCAGATTCCTGCTTAACCCGTAATCCCTATAAGCCCTGAATCCTAAATTGTCCCACTTCTCAGTACCGGATCTCAAACCCAACACAGGGACCGCAATTTGCGAGAATGATTGTCATGATGATGTTAGAAATATTATGAGAACAATGCCATCTGCGAAAGTATAAGTATCAACTTAAATTACAAGGCCCTGAACCCCCCCTAAACTCTAAACCCTAAACCCTAAACCCCTAGACCCTAAACCCTAAATCCCTGAACCCTAAATAATCCTTAGGCCCTAGACCCTAGACCCTAAACCCTAGCGAAGACGAGGGTTCGCTAACTGGAGTACACATATGGGGCACTCTTCTGTTCAGGGTCGGTAGTGGCTCAAAGTTAGGGTGCAGGGTTCAGGGTTCAGGGTTTAGGGTTTAGGGTTGAGCCTGTTTGCGTTGAGGGGGTTTGGGGTTGAGAGTTCAGGGGTTTCGGAGTTCAAGTTGCAGCTTTTGCCCTGCAGGGCATTGGGATTTCAGATTTCCGTTTCTGTGGAGGGTCTTGAAGTTAGGGAGTTAATATAAGGGCCTGAATAATTACCTATACTATCTTGGAGGGTTCCTTAGTATAAAAAAAGTATGATATCTCCCAAAACCCTATTCTAATTATTAAGGCCCTTACATTAATCCCAGACCAAACAAGCGAAGGGGCACCATGGCACATCAGCATTTGGCTCTCCTGCTGGCAACATCACAGCAACGGCTTCAAGGTGCAACCACCCCTACACTTTGTCATAGTTGGGTAACATTTTACATTTCTAAGGGTACTTAAACCCAATAAGGAATATAAATTTAAATTTTTAATACTACCCCAACCATGAACTAGTACACCCTAAACTCTGCGCCTAAATCGAAAAACCCTGTAAACCCTGAGCCCTATTGTGAAGCTGAAGACTTAAAGTAAGCGTCTTGGGTTCATCCTCCACGTGAGCGTGCGTTTCAAGCAGTTGCATTGCGGTTACGAGAAGCCTTAGACAACCTTGAAACGTACACCTTCAACCAAACCAAGACGTGTAGGCACATGCAGGTCAGACGTTCTCCCGCTTTATCGGGCCCTGTCACTTGAATAGTGAATAACCATAATATTCCTTAGGGTGTGAATCTACTAGAATATAGTTTGAAAATTACACCCCCCCCCCTTCGCTCCCCCCTATAGTAGCTTGGTCATGGATGGCACGTTTCTGGAGGGTCGTCGGTGGCGAGAGAGGAGGCCTATTGGTGCGAAGCGGCAGGGAGCTAGCCTCTGCAGAGAAGGAGGAGAGGTTGGCTAGCCAGTCAATCCTGGAGGAGCTTCTTAGTCTTTCTAGGGTCTAGGGTTTAGGGTTTAGGGTTTCTTAGTAGCTGAGTTTAGGTGTCTGAGAAAGGGCTTGTCAGGGTTGGTTAGAGGTTGTAGGCTCTAGTGGTTGGGTTATGGAATTCACAAGCCTGGGTTTTTTGGGCATATGTAATCTCTTGACAACAAAAAGTTGAGATTGATTTAGGCTTACTTGGATGTTCATGGGTAGTTCTAAGTAGGGTTATAATTCACCTAATATGGGTTATCAGTGTAGTTATCTTACTTATAACCCTACTTATAACTACCCATGAACCTCCAAGTGTGAACTCGACAACTAAACCCTAAACCCTAAACCCTTCGACAACTAAGGCTTGAGGTCATAGGGGGTCGGCTACGTTACAGGCTCCATCGTGGCGAGGGGCCATCAGAGGGCTGGGTGAGCTTGAAGTTGAAAGACAAGGACCTTGCTGCTGGGTCTCGCAGGGTTTAGAAGTTTTTGGATTTTGGGGTTTGGGGTCTTCAGGGTTTGGGGTGTTGGGTTTAGGACCCTAGTATGCTGGAAGATGTTTCTGATTTGGGGCTTTGCGTATTCTTGACAATTAACCATAGGAAATCACGATGAGGGTGCTGCAAACCTAGGTTGTGCCTGCAGACAGACGCGAAACTGGCAAGCGATTTGACGCTGCAGCGCCAATTCCGGAATTGCCTTGTGCTGAGTTGACACTATCTTATATAAACGTCCCAAGAGTTTTTTTGTGGCCAACTGTACGACCTCAATATCGATTCTAGTTAATTGTAGTGCCTTTTGGTACATCCCGGAAAGCACTGAGGCTCTGCGTGCAAGCCAGTGACGCCCATGGCACTCTTCGGGACGTGAGAGCATCCCTGTCGGAAATTGAGCAGGCGGCCTGGAAGAAGCTTCGAGAATCTGATCATAAGAACGAGAAGAGCGACTTGTCGTCTTTTGAAGAGTCGATCAAAGATTTGCTCTATTTGGCCTGGAAGCGCGAGAATCGTAAGCGAGTTGTCCTGCTCCTAGCGAAATTGCTCCAGTTCTCGAGCGAAAAATCGTGGGATCGCGCGGCTCGCATCGTCTGCCAACAGCTGTGCTTGGTGTGCTGGGCTTCATCTATGGTCGACGTTGAAGCTTGGCTGTTCTTTCATATAGCTTGTTGTTTGAATAAGTGCTTGAGGAACGGATGAAGGTGAAGATTCAAGGCTGGGGGGGGGGTGAAGAACACCCAAGGAGTATTATGCATTCAGAGATTCTGACAGTCCCATCGTGGTGGTTTGTGGCTTCGGCGGCTCTCATCTCGATGATGCTTGGACTGCTCTTTCCAGCCCACCTCCCTGCCCGTCCTGCTTAAACCTTAAACCCTAAACCCGAATCCTAAAAACCCTAAACCCTAAACCCTAAAGCCTAAACCCTAAGCCCAAAAGCCTCTTGAAGGTTGTGAACCCGCTTTCGTCAGACCATGTTGGATTTAGGAGTCGAGGCTCGGAAGGTCACCTCCTGAACCCTAAACCCTAAACGGTTTAGGGTTTAGGGTTTCGGGTTTAGGGTTTAGGGGGGGTATCCTCAGCGTCATAGTCATTTTCATCATATGGGAGTTTCCGACAATAAGCGGGGTTACCTTATTTTGGGGGTTCCTTCTAACAAGGATCCTACTATTTAGGGTCCCCTGTTTTCGGAAACCCCCCATTTTCCTCATACGAGTCAGTACTGGTGTAGTTTGATCATAATCATAACCGCCATCATCATCATCACCACCACCACCATCACCATCATCATCGTCAGCATCATCATCATCATCATCATCATCATCACGCTCATTATCAACATCATCATCGTCATCATCATCGTCATCATCATCGTCACCATCACCGTCACCATCACCGTCATCATCATCATCATCATCATCATCATCTTCATCATCACCATCATCATCATTCTCATTATCAACATCATCATCGTCATCATCATCGTCATCATCATCGTCACCATCACCGTCATCATCATCATCATCATCATCATCATCATCATCATCGCCGTCATCTCCTCCACCAGGGTCGTACCTTCGCCACCGCCACAGCTACAACCCGCATCATCTGGATTACGATACCGAGCGCGCCGTTTGCGACGACTGCGGCGGAGGACGACGACGACTACATACTCCCGCGACTATTACGACGATGACTACTCGTGCTCGCACTCGCACGTGTGCTGGCACCAATATTTCTGAGCCCTAAACCCTAAACCCTAAGCCCTAAACCCTAAACCCTAAACCCTAAACCCTAAACCCTAAAACCCTGAACCCTAAACCCTAAACCCTAAACCCTAAACCGTAAAGACTGTTCCGAGGACCTGCAACCGGCCATTGATCGTTGGACGCAAAGCGGTGCTGGGGTACCTGGTGGTCTCTTAACAAGATTTTCTTCAGGCACAGTATTATAGAAGCCCCAATAAGTACCCATATTATTCCTTAGGGTCACTGATTATCATATCATAGCATAAAAGGAGCCCAAAATCCAGCTCTGATTATTAAGGCCCCTACATCTCAGCCCTAAACCCTAAACCCTAAACCCTAAACCTCAAACCTACATTAACCGTTCTTTTGTTGATGAGGTCGCACAGAAGATGTTGGGTTCCCTGCTGTCAAGTAATGTAGAAGCCTGCAGAATTGCCAACACTACAGCCATACGGCTGATAAAAGCGGTGTAGCGTTTGCCCCAGAGTTTAGGGAATTAGGGTTTATGAGTTAGGGCTGATACTAAGGGGTGTAGGGTTCAGGGTTTAGGGAGATACGGTTGATGATATACATCCTGCATTACCCATAATAAGGAACACACCATAATTCCCACAGCTTAGGGTCTTCAAGGTAATGCAGGATTTGTATCATCAACAGTACTACATTTCCTTGCCGTTATAAAAGATAACAAGACCCAACACCCTGTTCTAATGATTGGGGCTCCTTTTTTGTAGAACCCTCAGGCACCCTCTTGAAGTCAATAAGTGTAGTATGCCTCAAACAACCCTCTTAGACAGTAAAGCCGATACATAGTCTAATTGAAGTATCCGGGCTCCTATGGTCCGCAGAAGGTACTGGCTTTTGGTCCGGCACGAGTTGGCCGGGATGACATGCTGCTCGTGCATATTTTGTTAGCCTTTAGGGTTTAGGGAAGCTCCGACTAAGGCCGTGACACCCCTGAAGCGTAGACCGCATGCCCAATCCCCAAAGTCGCAGTCCCTCAGCATCTCTTTTCTCCAAGTCACAACCCCTAAACCCTAAACACTAGAGCCTATAGACCCTAAACCCTAAACCCTAGACCCTAAACCCTAAACCCTGACTAAGCCCTAAACCCGAAAGGGCCCTAAACCCTAAACCCTAAAGGGCGGTTTAGGGGTTTAGGGTTTAAGGCTTCGGGCTTCGGGTTTAGGGTACAGCCTAGTTTACAAGCCCGCACCAATATGTATGGTTGTCTTGAGGGTTCCGATTATAATCAAAGTAGACTCGACATCGACCAACCTGTTCCAATTTGTGAAGGCCCCTAAACCTTAAACCCTAAACCCTAAACCCTAAAACCCTGAACCCTAAAACCCTGAACCCTAAACCACGTAACGAGCGGTCTACATGAAGTTTTTTGTCGCCCTCGAGCTTGCGGCTCAGTGGCCTCCTTGCATAATTTGGACCCTTGAAGGAACCCTTAAAGGAGCCCTTAAAGGAACCCTTAAAGGAGCCCTTAAAGGAACCCTTAAAGGAGACCTCTGGCAGAGTTTATTTTAAGACAGAGGCTCGTCGTGGAGTTTGCAGAACTCCATTTAACATGTATGTGTGGAGATACCTCTATATGTACATCTATATACGCAGTATACAACACGGTATGTATGTGTATATGTATGTATGTATGTATGTATGTATGTATGTATGTATGTATCCATACGACACAACTATTTGTAGGTTGCGTGGGGTCCAGCCACTTTAACCTCTGAGTTGAAGACGGCAGAACCCCTTTATGCCAAACTCTACAAGCCACCTTGAAAAACCATACAGCCACCAGAATATAGCTTCCAAACTTTCCCTAAACTGTTGAACCCTCGACCCATGCAAAACCTACACCTCCGAGGCTTCTAACTGCAGAACCTAAGCCTTTATATAACCCACACCTGAAACCCTGAGCCTTGAACACTAATACTGTTGATGATCTAAATCCTGCGTGACCTTGAGGACCCTAGAGTATGGGAATTATGGGTACGTCTACTCCTTTATATGGGAAACCCTAAAGCCTACTTGGAGGCCCAGGGGACTTCGTAAGTCGGGGACAAGTAGAGTTATAAGTGCCCTAACTGGAGTTACCCCATTTATAACCCTACTTATAACCGACCTACTAAGCCCCCTGGGCCTCCAAGTAGACCCTAGACCCTAAACCCTAAACCCCAAACCCTAAATAGAACCCTCTAAGTCCCCTGGGCCTCCAAGTACGCCCCGAAACCTTAAACCCTAAACCCTAAACCCCAAACCCTAAACCCTAAACCCCAAACCCTAAATACATCCCGGGATCTAAAAAGGGACCCTGAACCCTAAGCCTGGGCCTCCAAGTAGGAAGAGGTTTGTAGAAATTGGTTTTGACCCCAGGGTCTCCCCAAAAGCAAAGGCTCAGGGCTTCCTGCAGTAGGGTTTAGGGTTAAGGGCTAAGGGTTTAGGGTTTAGGGTTTAGGGTTTAAGGTTTAGGGTTTAGGGGGCGAAAAGCCTTAAATCCTCTCAGGAGCCCTTTGAGGGTCCCTAGGTTTCGGGGTTTAGGGCTT